CTCCAGGATTTTGAGGGGCTGGAAAGCTACTCTAGAGTGAGTCCTGTTGTGCCAGGCTCAGATGGGGGAATAAAGAATGTCCCAGGCAGAGGAGGCAACATGATGGAAGGGCTCCACACTCAGGGGAACACTGGGCAGAGCAGGCAGTGCAGTGTGCGATGAGGCACTGGCGATGTCAAGGAATTAATGGGAGCGGAGGCTGGAAGTGTAGGTTGGAGGAAAATGCGTGAAATGCGGAAGGCTTTTAACGACTAATAGGAGCTAGGGCAGGGCAGGCAGGAAAGGGCAGCATTCCAGGTAACGGTCAGCTATTCTAACGAAGTGGCATCACCAGACCTGTGTCATGGAACAGCGGATCTCTAAAATGCATGGGGAGAAGCTGCGGTTAGGAGGAGGAGGAGGAGGAGGAGGAGGAGGAGGAGGAGGGGAAAAAGGAGGAGGAGGAGGAAGGATTCTACTGCAGTAATTTAGGAGATGATGAGGCCCCACACCGGGGCTCTGTCTGTAAGGATCGTTTTCATGGGGCAAATGTTAGATACTTTATGTGGCAACATAATACCTCAGTGATGCCTCTTCAGCAGAAGCTTCCTTCCCAGAGGCAGAGTTTAAGGACTCATGGGCATGGATTAGAGGACTTAGAAGGGAGTTTGCTCATTGTATCTGTTTGTGGTTCTGGTATCCGAGATGGGAAAACGATCGTTAGCATCCATATCCATCAAAATAGCAAAATCTCACACTTCACTGCATAGAAATGAGAAATCAACTTTCAATTCTTTGATTTCTGTTTCAGTATTTATTTTTAAACAGAGCATGTGATTGGTCCAATTTGATGTGCCCCTTGGAATTGAAAGGGGTTGGGATCCAAAAACTCTCCTTTCATTCTTTCACTCTTCCGCGTTTCTATGCCCTTGCATGTGTGTATGTGAGTTTGAGGGGGGTATCTGTTCCCCAGGAGGTGGCTATGTGGGAGCGGATGATGTAGTGATTCGTTCTGGGAAGAACACGTGTTGATGGATGTGAACACAGAGCTCCCCGCGCTGAGCGTGCTCTTCGTTTAGCAGAGTGCTTTGCATGCAGGCTTGGATTTTATAGGCAATTTTGTTTTAGTAGGAGAGTAAAATTTCACAAGATGTGTCTCCAACTGACTTTTGCCAGAAATTCACCTCTATTTGAACTGTGTTATCTTCCTTAAGATTCCAGGAGAGATTTTAGTACAGAGTAACTCTAAGTTATGACATGACACAACCATAGTACATAGGACATCCAGACACTCGCTCATGGGTTCCGCAGGCTTAAAGATTGCCTCTTAGCCTTTTTATGTAGAAGTAGCAGTAGGAGTCAGGTCAGTATTTCTCTGTTCCTAAGGGCCCCCTTTTTATTTTCTTTGGCCCTGATATGCATTAGGAATACAAACTTGCTTTACAACATAGAATATGAAATAGTGTGGGAGATTAGATGAATATTCCCATTTCTTCACACCCTCCCTTCACTCCTTCATCCGGCCTTTGTTGTGTGACTCGCAGAACGTCTCACCAGAGGGTGTGGTAACCTTCCCCATTCCTTGGTTTGTGATAATGTCCAGTTCTGAGAAGAGGCCTTAAAAGACATTGTGTGGTTCTTCTCCTGTCGCTTACACTTCTGTCATTGTTTCCGAGCAGAACACATTCCAGGTGGTGATTGGTCCCAGGGGAAGGCGAGATGCTGGGAACTGACCTGTACCCGCCCTGTGTCCTGAAGCAGAGCTTTCCTGGGCTGCTTTCAGCTCTGTGAGAAAAACAAATAAACATTTGCTGTTGTAAGCCACTACAATTTTTAGAATTTCTGAACTTCCTCTACTGGCCTCACTGTGGATATGCACAAGCAGAATTATACCAAGTGTTACTTCTGATCTGTGTGCGTGGACTTCAGTGTCTGCTTGCTAGTTAAGTCGCCATGACTCTCAATCAAATCCACTGACTGTTCCAAAGCACAGTAACTTGTAAGTATGCATAATTTGAACTTTCAAAGCTAAACTCAGGTCTGAAACATATAAAGTGTTCCAGAACTTGGAGAAACATCAAATGACTGTTACAGGGAGAAGAAACTCTGGAGTGGTCCAGGAGCCCACGATCTCTGAGTTTTATTCACCTCGGTCTAGTGGTGGGCGTCTCAGATTGTGTGGCACGGACATCGCACAGGACGAGAATGCAATGTCAGAAGTCCAGTTCTAGTCCAGCCTACTTCCTGAGACATCTTGGCATTTAACTTATTTGAGTGATCACACCAGACGGAGCCCCTTGAAAGCTCTAGAGTGTAACGCAAATGTCAGATACACTAGTTCTCGTCATCAAATCTTCTCAGAGGGGGTTTTGCTGTGAAGAAATGTCCTGCCTGTGTTGTGAGTGTTGTGGCCGTCACTCATCCCCGTGTGCGTTTCCGGATCAGGAGCTGTGCTTCCTGAGTTCTGCTTCCCAGTTATTTTCTAAGTATGAGTGTGTTTTTTGTCCTTTACTCCACCTGGCATGTTGCTTGACTGATCTTATAGAATCTTTTTTCCACTTTCTCATCTGTTTCAGAGTGAGAAGAACCAAGCTTGGGTTTTCCTATCATGGACAAAAAAGGTTTCAACCTGTCAATTATTTGATATTTAGATAGGTAGAAACATTTCTAAATTGAGGAGTGCAGAACATTAAGAGATTTTTGATTATCGGAAAGGATTTCAGTGTTAGAGAGTCTCATCTCAGTCTTCATAAATCTCTCACCTTGTCATCATTTATGGGTACATGTTAATTTCCCTACTTGTCTTTATCTCCATATGCTGCCTGCTTATAGGGTGAGCCCTGTCCCATTCCCTACTTAGGACATTACTACTGAGAATACCCTGACATCAACATACATGTTTGCTTGTGTACTCCTGCCTGTCATTAATAATAGTGACAACAACAACAAGAAGTAACTTAGTGATTAAAAGTACAAGCTTTGCAATCAGATTGCTCTTCTTCAAATTATAGCTTTGCTTCTTAGCAGCTGTGTGAGCTCGATATCTTGGTGCCTCAGTTTCACCATCTGTAA